ATATATATATAGAGAGAGAGAGAGAGAGATATTTATCATGAATATAATTTTCCTGGTCACACGTATTAGTCTTATTATCAATTTTTCTAATTTTAAAAAGTGTATATACTATTAAGACTCACTAAAAAAAAAAGTTTCTATTAATAAAAAATAATGCTGATAAAGATTACATTATATATATATATATATATATATATATATATATATATATATATATATATATATATATATATATATATATATATAGTGGGTGTGTGTGATTGTACTGATCCTGCATGCAATACCTATTAAGCTTTTGAAAGAATTCTCTTGATGGCTAACAAGCCATATAATGTTTGTTGGAAATTTGTAATAAATGTAATATGTTAGGTTCAGAATATATATTAAAATATAAATGTAGAAGTACATACATACAAAACATATATATATATATATATATATATATATATATATATATATATATATATATATATGTCAAAGAGTGAGTGTATGAAATACAGTGAGTATTAACAATGAAACCTATGTAGTTCCGCTTATATATAGAAATATGTGTCTGTTTGTGTATATATATATATATATATATATATATATATATATATATAATATGAATATATATATAATATGACTATATATATATATATATATATATATAATATGAATATATATATAATATGACTATATATATACATACATATATATATATGAATATATATATAATATGACTATATATATACATATATATATATATATATATGAATATATATATACATATATATATATATAAATATGAATATATATATAATATGACTATATATATACATATATATATATATATATGAATATATATATAATATGATATATATATACATATATATATATATAATATGAATATATATAATATGACTATATATATATATATATATATATAATATGAATATATATATAATATATATATATATACATATATATATATATAATATGAATATATATATATATATATATATATAATATATATATATATATATATATATATATATATATATATATATATATATATATATATATAACTAAACAGCTTCATGATTAATGCAGTTCTTTAATATTTGCATTGTTATAAGTAGTTGTTGTTCAAGATCTAACAATTATTTAATGATTTTGAATGGTTTCAGATCATTACATTATTTTACTTAATATGAATAGATGGCTTTCTGGAATTGCATGCTTCGTCTACATACATACATACATACATACATACATACACACACATATGAGTAAATCATCATGTATGCATTTGCATTATATGAATTTGCATATTGTATAATATTGGTTGTTCATCTGTTGCGTGAGCAATAGTATATATACACATTATCTTACTACTTCCCCCTTCCGATATTCTTACCTGCGGACGGACATTTCTCTTTGAAATATCATATAAAGCTGAATATGTTTCCAAAAGTTGCTTTCCGCATTCCCCGCCGTGATGTGTGTATCCCCGTGATGGAACACGGATAATGACAAGGAGTTTAACAATAATACCCAGTTTATGTTTTCCTTCCGTGCAAATTGTGCATCCACACGCACACACACTGAGACAATTCACATACATGCACAACTCACTTTTTTTTTTAAAAGTAAGGCATCTTATGTTTGCGAAGAATATTGATAATAGTTTCCCAAATTGGAACTGGCATTTGCTTTAGGTTTTTTTTTTATGTGAATTTCTGAATGTTTTTAATAATTAGCACAAATGACAATAAGAATGAATATATTTTCTAATTTATATACTTGAAAATAAACTCAAAATAATATGTAGATATATGTTTTTTTCTGGGTGCGTGCTAACGTGTATATAATACCCACACATACATACATGTATCCATGCATATATATGCTCTCATATATATATATATATATATATATATATATATATGCTTGTGTATGCGCGTAGACACACACATTATATATATATATATATATATATATATATATATATATATATATATATATATATATATATATATGAGAAATAATCTATCGGAGTTCCTGGCTTGACATAACACGTAGAGCAGCTGAATTTATACAGAGGTTCGATTGATGAGATATGTTCCTTCTTGAGTCTGAAACATTGCTTAATAAATGTGTATATTGATATATAAGTATATAATTTCTGCTAAACCAATGATTCTTTGTATCATTAATCAAAGCATTTTTGTGTGTATAGGATTCACTGTTCAATAAAAACGTATTTTGCTTTATTCCTAATTACTGATATTGTAAATTGTCAATTTTCAACAAAGAAATAACAGAAAGTTAACTTTTTATCTAAAAATTCCTGCAAATTTTCTATATTCCGTCAACTGAATCACACTAAGCACACAATCTAAGCGTATAGAAACTATGCAAGCCACTGTCAACATAGTAAATATATTTTTGTTTTGTAAATATAGAGTAAAACGAGAGACATTATAAAGTGCAATAATATACAGACACTATAAATCTACATTCTTTTGGAACGTGAAAAATGTTTAACACTTTTACTTGTTGAATTGTTAAGCATTTTTAGTTTTTGAATAGGAAAGAAAAACCTACAATGCTTTTTCATGTATGGTTTGAAAAGTCACATGTAAATATCTACAACATATACGTTGGTTGCTATAAAGTTAGATTAGCACACACATATATGAATCTATTATTAAATTTTTGAAATCGCACATTATATGATGAAAACTTACATGTAATAAAGTTTGCAATGTATGTGAATCTGTATGAACATGGTTAATATATATGTAAGATTTTAAAACTACAAGTTCATGTTTCTGTAGTCACGTAGGAAAAAAACGAAAAGAAAAACGAAGTCCTATTTTCTACATGCCTATTTAAAATATAAATAAACCTATATCAAATAGTGGGAATACATGTAATCAATTGTGTGTCGGTTTATATGTGTGTCGGTTCAACTGTTTGTCGAAGCGTACTTTTCACATGCGCATAGACCTGGAACGCAGTGTGATATCTAATGTAAAGAAATCGACCAGGAATATTAATTTTGCAGATTATCGGAAATATTTTTTTTTTCCAAAATCCTCATCGATCATCTGGTTCTTTCTTGTTTCTTGTTTCCCTCCCCCCACACCAAAAAAAATTTAAAAAAATATTGGTTAACTTCTTTGTAAACCTCTACGTGAAGATAATTGTTAAAAACACACATCTCCACGTGTACGCCTATAGAAAAAAGAAAGTGTTCGTGGATTTCTACGTGCAATCGGCGCATATATTTGCATGTCTGTGTGGGTTTAAGACACGCAAAAGGAAATGTCTAAGAACCAGCAGATATTTTATTCCCATTCTATACGTGTGAACATGCGATATTTTCTATTACTATATGAATTAAATAGAGTGGAGGAGGAATAAAGATATTTTGAGATTTTTATTACATCCATTTTTATTGCGTTACATACAAGATCCCAATATATCTCTATCGATCACTGTTTCATGGAGCATACATTTGTTCGTATCTGCATTCATTCACACGTTATGTATATATATATATATATATATATATATATATATATATATATATATATATATATATAAAAATGTGTAGTATTTGTATCTATCTATCTATGTGTGAGCGTGAGCGCACGAGCGTGTGTCTGTAGATAGATAGATAGATAGATAGATAGATAGATAGATAGATAGATAGATAGATAGATAGATAGATAGATAAAATGAAGCTAGTGAGGAACCTTCGGACTTTGACAAACTTTGATAACTAAACAAATCTGAGATGTTTTTTGGAAGCATTTGTTGATCATTTATCTACTGCATTTCCAAAATATGTATGACATTATTTGTGGACCTGGAGTGCTTTTTCAGAAACTTTTCTTTTGACTATATATATATATATATATATATATATATAAATATATCTGTCTAGCTATCCATTTGTCTGTCTGTCTGTCTCTCTATATCACTCTCTATATATATGTATATAGTAAGAGAGAGAAATAGATAGATAGATAGATAGATAGATAGATAGATAGATAGATAGATAGATAGATAGATAGATAGATAGATAGATAGAGTTTTATTAATATAAAAATACACAGATGGTGTTTGCTATATACATACATCTATTTTTTAAAAAGTAGTTAAGTATAATCATATCGTCAAAACATGTTATCCATCTCGGAGACGTGCGTTTGTCTTCAGCAATCCTTAATTAACTTTTGTTCCATCTCAACAACAGCAGCAAGACATCTTTCAATAAAGGATAAAAAAGAGAGAAACGTGAATCACCGTGATTCCCTCTATAATGCGCGTGTTTCTCTTATACTTTTCAGCGGCTTCACTTGTGCACGTTTCTTGGAAGCTACTTGTCTGTTTGTTGCTCTTTCGCTGTGCACTTGTGGTTACTCGTTGCATCGTCGGAATAACAATGCATCATTCGGGTATCGTGACGGTGTATAAAGATTTTTTGCCTTTTTACTTTTACTTAAAACCTAATTTCATCAACAAATGAAATAACTGATCAATAGCCGAGCAAAAGAAAAGAAGATTAGTTATTAATGTTAATTTTTACGGCAGGTAAATAAGTTGCGCGGTTACCAATGGTGCATTACAATCATTCTGTTTCATATTAATTATTGCATAGCATTTAGAATAGCAAAATAAAAATAATTATGCACATTTCCTGTTAGCCTCTCGTTTTCTTTCTTTGTGCCATTAGTCTCAATTTTTCTAAGGTGTGTATAGTATGTCGATGATTTGAAGGTAAATCAGGTAGGTTATAATCGCCCTGTTCCATATTTATCACAATCGAGCTTGATATATATATATATATATATATATATATATATATATATATATATATATATATATTACTGTTTACTTATTTTAGAGTTTATTTACCTGCTATGTAGCATAGAGTGAAACGATGTTTTTTTTCTGCAAATTTTGGAGGTTAATATTCGGATATTGAGTGTCCCACCGTTATAGTCATGTGTAAGCCTATACAGTTAGGGTCTTTAACACGCACACGCACTCTTATCTATCTATCTATCTATCTATCTATTTATCTAATTCTCTCTCCCTCACTCTCTCTCTATATATATATATTGAATGAAATACAAAGGTATGTGAACTATTAAAAACAATTTCTTAGTTTATCTGATGATATTTGAAAGTTAAGAAAGAATTTCAAAATTCTGAGATATATTCATATATATATATATATATTATATATAATTATTTATTCGAAAATTATAACATAAACATGTAATAAAATCACTACTATATATATATATATATATATATATATATATATATATATATATATATATATATATATATGTGTGTGTGTGTGTGTGTGTGTGTGTATATGTATGTATGTATGTGTTTTGCGTTACGAGTTCCTGTGTATTTATCAATGTAAGTCTGTGTCTGTGTGTGTACCAAAAGCAAGTTTTGTTTGATGTATCCGTTATTGATCCACCAGATTGTGATCACGTAATAAAAAGAAAATTTAGTTGTGTATAAGGGCATACAATTTATACATATATATGTGTGTGTGTGTTTGTATATATGATTATGTATATATATATATATATATATATATATATATATATATATATTATATTTTTTATTATAAAATGTTGCATATTTCAGTGTGACATTTTAGAATATATACTAATTGCTCTGCTACTAATATTGAACCCTTTTTTAAAGTAATTTATGAACGTTTGAATTTATATTCTCTTTTCCTTTATATTTATATATATATATATATATATATATATATATATATATATATATATATATATACACACAAAATTATTTCACTTTATTCAAATTTTTCACTCGCGCGAATATGTGCTTGTGTGTTTTGTGTGCGTTTAAAACTTCAATTATGTTTAAATAAATTAATTCGTATAACAACATATAAACTTTTTTATTTCTACGCTATCCGATGCATTTAATGAAATGAACATCAAATTAACTCTCCACACAAGCATACACTTTATATATATATACATATATATATATATATATATATATATATATATATATATATATATATATATATATATATATATATATATATATATATATATATATATATATATATATATATATATATATATATATATATATATATATATATATATATATATATACATATATATATATATATATATATATATATATATATATATACATATATATATATAATTCCAATTGGTAATAGTTAGGGATAACTCCAATGAGGATATATATATATATATATATATATATATATATATACATGTCAATGATTTGATTTGGTTTCTGCAAATGCAAACACTCTTGTTTATTCCTGAGACACACAAGAATCAAAGTGCGTATCTATTACTGTCTCTATGCATATATATATATACACACACTCGCGCACACACAATCATATATATTTGTGTGTGCTTGAGTGTGTTTTTGTGTGTATATATATTTTTATATAATCATATACCTTATACATATATATATATATATTTATATATCTGTGTAAATCTATGTACCTATGTAGATTATTGCACTCATGCATATTGTTCTACAGGCATGTATAGAAACACAGTTGCATACATAAACACACACGCACATATAAAACAGTTTAATGAGTTGAAGTGTCTTGATCGTATGTTATTCCCGCGATATTTAAGGAAATATGTGCAAGCAAGAATCAATGCGTCTGTTTTACACTAAGTTCTTATTGAACTTCTTCATCAAACATCAAAAACAGACATTTTATAGGAAGATTGTGTAGCGACAATACTTCAACTGGAGAATATTGGCATGACATTTATGCATTTACGAACCTGGTTTTTTTATCTGAGCTCGAACCCTACTCTTCCCTTCCGCAGCACAAAAAATAAACCTAATCTATTGTTGCGGATCATGTCTATATCACAGTGCAACAATATTGGGTCATTCTTCCAGGATCGAACTCTTTCTTTTCGCAGTAGTCTAACTAGATAAACTTGCTAACAATTCTGCTCAAACCAGGCAACCTATTATATTCGTAATTTTGTGTTTCTCACAGGCAACTACATGCGTAAATGTTCTACCCTTTGTGTTTGATGGTCAGACAGTTTTTGTGCATGCGTGTGTGAATTCGTTGGTTGCAATCGTAGTGAATGAAATTTTGGTTGAAAGATGCATCTTTCAGTTAACTGTACAACGTACACTTATTGATTCGGAACTTGTAAATGGAGAAATGATTTGTGCACTGGTCGGATTGAGAGATGGACGCATGGGTAACAGAGGATGCTTTGAGAAAGAAATAAAGTACAATTTATTACATGTGCTTATAGATAGATCTATATATATAAGTTGAACAAGTGAACTGTTGCATGATTGTAAGTATTTCGGGTCATTTTTATTGACGGACAACTAAAGGTGGAAATAAATAGACAATTGCAAAAGACATACATACATTTTAGTGAAAACTGAGGGGAAATAGAAATAAATACAAATTAACTTTATTTTATAATCATCTAAATTTATAAAAAAAATAAACTATTTTACGCTGGGGTAGAAGAAAGAGAAAATTTTGAAAAACATTTTTTTTATCTTTGTTTAGCTTTCAAAGTAATACTTTCATTTTGTATGTATAAAGAAATAAAATAATGTCTGGGTCATAACTTTTAAGTATGAGTTGTTTGAATAGACTTTTGTTACTTTTATTTCCAACGTAATAAATTAACAGTTAAATTAAGTTTAAAAATACATCCGTTTACTTACCTTATGCATGGGAAGCCTCCTTCACCGACGTTACGTAAAACAATGAATTTGGTAGATTAGAAAATAAGTAGGTATTGGTAAATAGGTAGACAGCCCTTTTTAGGTTTTTTTAACAGTTATCCTCTTTGGTGTGTTACAGGCATTTTTGTTGTTGGCTAGTGTTGTGGTTATTTGCGTTGCTGCCGTTGTAAATTGGTATTGACGTTGTAGCCACAAAAATTAATATTTTTGTTTTGTTAAAAGAATAGACAGATAAAGAGAGATAGAAACAGATAGAGAGTTCTACGGATTTTCTATTATAGAAAGATTCAAAGAGAGACGGAAGTAAATAGACGAAGATAGAAAGCTTTTAAAAGCCCCAAACCCAAGAAAGCTGTTAGAAAAAAAAAATGGACCAAAAAAAGTTACAAAGGAAGAAAGGAAAGAAGCAATACGGAATGGACGAAGAAAAAAAAGATGGAAAAAGAAAGACTAATCGTCCCTTCTTGGAACTCCTTCGCTTTTTTTTCTGATATTTCGTCGGTAAATTTCTCAAACATTCTTCGGCGTCCGTGATGCCAACGAGTTGAAATCACTCTTTCAAAGTAGTATATCCATCCATTATTTACAAAGATTGGCCATTCCTTTCTTTCAGCTCTCCGGCTTTCACGGTTACTGTTTAGAATTCTGTCGCTAAAGGAAGAAAGAGAGAGAAATAGAGAGAGAAAGAAAAAGATCTTATTATTGTGGCCAGTCGGTCGGCTTCTGGTGGTGGTCGTGTAGTTGCAAATGCATGCATGGATGTATGTATGTATCTATGTACAAACGGGCTCTAATGTATGCCTTTCATAACTGAGTAACTCTAGGATTGGTGATGCTTTTATTTCTTAATAGGTGATTTAATTTACAAACTTCATGCAAATATTTTGACAACTTGAAACATAAATTATAAACTTAAAAGTAAAACTATGAAATATTAGATATTTTTGAAACTATGTTTAAATGTCTTGACATGTATAAACTTATATGGGCAATTTGTGATGTTTTTTTTGTTGTTTTTTTGGTATGAGCACTTGTTTGTATGCTTTTTTAAGACATTTTATATTTTTTTTTTTTTTTGCTTTAAACCCTTTTTTATTTTTGTTTGTTTTCGTGTTGATTTTTTTCCGCTTGTTCGTTTTCAAGGTACTCGTTTCAGTAAAGAATCCCGTTCATAAGACATCGCTGCCGGCTATAACTACGTTTGCTGACTGGCCGACGTATCCGACACCCCCTATATTTCTACAACAACAATAATTACTACTACCACTAGCACCACCACCACCACTACTACTACGACTATCAGCACTACAACTACTACTATTACTAATCCTACTACTACTACTACAACTACTACTACTACTACGGCTACGGCTACCACTACGCTTACCAATACTTTGTTACCTTAACAAGTTGACCACCACCATCATCAACACCCGACCCCTCCACAAATTTAACTGTCACTAATAGTGAGGGAGTTGAAGTAGTAGTAATAATAGGTTTTGGACGTGCGAGTCGCAGTATGATGAGTGGTGGGAGAAGGTGGAGGAAGTGTGAGGAGTTTCAACTGTCGCTAATAAGGATACTACTATTCATAGAACTACTACTACTACTAAGGCTGCTGCTGAGTGCGAAAGAAGAGGTTTCCTCTTATATCGGCAACAAGAAAGGAAGAAAGAAAGACAGAAAGGAAGAAGTAAATTCACAGGAGAGAAATAAAGAACGAACGAACGAAATGGTGAACGAAAGAAAAAAGCACGAAAGAAAAAAGAACGAACGAATGAAAGAAAGAAAGGAAGAAAGAAAGAAATGAAGGAAGAAATGAAGAAAGAAAACTAAAAGAAAGAAGAAGGATGAAAGAAAGAAAGAACAAATAAAGAAGGAAGGAAAGAAAAACAGAATGAAAAAATGAATGAAAAGAAAGAATAACAAATTAAAAGAGGGTTTGTGAATAAACTACGTCTAGAGAGAGAATTACAAATGGATGTGTGTGATTTTTTTTCCAGAGCAAAAGAACAAGAAAATGGGATGTGAACGGAAGTTCTTTATTGTTTGTTGTTGTTGTTGTTATTATTATTATTATTAAACGATCATCTGCCAATAGAAGATATCTCTTGTTGTACTCAAACGTCTTTTCTATGATATTTCTCCCATTAGGATCTGATGCCTTTCGTCAGGGATCAAGTGGCAGCAAGTTAAATCTATTTTTTCTAAACTTCGTTTACAGTTTGATACCCTCAGTAAGAACTGGACTCGGAATAATCAGTAAGATATTCCTCCTAACCACCAAAATCAAATTATTCGGCAACAAAATGCCATAAGTTTAGAGAACGACCTAAAGCCACAATTTCGTGACCCCACCCCACCCAGTAAAAATCGAATGTACTACTTTAACGGACAGGAAGGCTGTTCTAGTGAAGTTATTGTAATCTTAGTCTGGTAAAAGGCCAACAACTTTAGGGCAAGCCTTAAAACCGAATTCGTTATTCTAATAATAAGTTTCGAGATTATCTTTATTTAATAAACTTGGATTTGTCTGGCACATGGCTTTCAGTACGGAGCGCCCAGTAAGGACCAACCTAATGACAATAATGATCGACTACATAAGTTTGCGAAGCATTTTTCCATAGCAGGGACCAGATTGCCATTATTTCATGAATTTTCGAACAAGTATTTTCTGGTGATTAGAATCTGAGTTTAAGTGACAACTCGTCTTCTTACTGCATCATCATCATCGTCAGCATTATCATCATCACCATCATCACCATTATTATTATTATTATTATTACTATTATTATTATTTGCTGGCAAAATAATGGCTCTGACAGATGAATGTAACTTTTATGCGCTTTTCCCACCTTTTATAACATGTTTTGTTTATCGAGGAAATCTTGTTACTCTAATAAAAAAAAATAAAATATATATAATTGTTACTGTTTCATATTTGATTGATCACTGGTTACCCATGTTTATACGTTTTTAGCTTAAAAGAAAGAACCAGGTCATGCACCCCTTGGAACTATGTCGGCTCTTATGCTTTTCTTTGTCATAATCACTATTCACCTCTGTTTCAATACCACTTTTTTCCTGATAAATTTCATATATATATATATATATATATATATATATATATATATATATATATATATATATGTATGTATGTATCTCTATGTATCTATGTGTTTGTGTGTGTCCGAACTTTCTTTCTTATTTATTTCCTCTTATCTGCCATACCTCTTTTCCTCAATTTTTCATTTAATTCGATTATATTTTGTTTACTTTCTCTCCCTTTGTCTTCGATTTGTATTTTCGTTTTTTGCTACTATTTCTACCCACCATTTTCTTTAGTTATTTCATGTGAGCCCTTGATTTTGCTTCTCCTTCTCTCTCCTTTTCTCGCTTACATAACCATCTCTAATTCAAAGCCTTAAATTTGAGAAAGGCTCTCTATATCGTCCTTTCTCTATTCGCCTTTACAGACTTCATCAACGCAAACAAAACATCCCACTTGGCCGTGTGTCATACGAAGCTAAGCTTCATTAACACTACTGTTTTTATTCTTGTTCTGCATGTATGTTGACAACAGTTATATTTTGGAGCTGTTCTAGGAGATGAAGTGACAACACGTCTCCTTAGTACTTCAGCACTCAATATTTTTGCTGATTTGAGCAATGCTGATATTCGGATGGTTTCTGTTCTTTTATTATAGATTATTGGGGAGAATACGGAAGCATTAAGAAGCTTAGTAATAGTAGTAGCATTTAACTATATTTTTCAGGATTATCACTAATATTTTAAAATAAACTATTGCTGTTTAACACTGTTATTACGGATAGTCTGTTATATTTCTAATTGATAATAGAGTTGAGAATATTTCTACCTTATCATTTCATTTTGTTACTTCAATCATGTAAACTCTTTGACGATCACCCAAATTCTCACTCAAACAATATCTTCCGTTGTTTGCACTCACCCTGACAATTGTGAGTCTTCCCAACTCTCTACAACTACTATTTAATAGTAAGAGGACTCATCTAAGTGCAACTTAGACTGCCACTCGATATGTTACGTGCCCTTTTATTGCTATTATTTTGGGTGGGGGCTGGCCGCATTCGCCTTCCTGCTTCATCTTTTGATATTTTGATTTAACGACCAACTTTCCCTTCATTAATTGAGAGTATCTTCCCTCGCCCTTTTTACTATTTACAAATCTTCAGGTCTTTTTGTACAATTTCATTTCTTTATCACGTTGTTATTTCATTATTTTTATAAACACACACACACACACATATATATATTGTATATACATATATATATATATATATATATATATATATATATATATATATATATATATATATATATATATATATATATATATATATATATATACATATATATATACATCTTGTATATATATATATACATATATATATGTATATATATACATATATCTGTATATATTTATATATATATATATATCTGTATATATTTATATATATATATATATATATATGTGTGTGTGTGTGTGTGTATTCACCTCAGATTGTGTACCTTTAATTTTTTTATCAGTTGACTAAAAGATCTTACTTTTTTACATCTTTCTTTCCCCAATACATACATACATACATATATATATTATATATATATAAATATATATATATATATATATATATATATATATATATATATACATATATATAGATATACGTCTGTGTATATATATATATATATACATATATATATGTGTATATATATACATACATATGTGTATATATTTATATATATATATATATATATGTGTGTGTGTGTGTGTGTGTGTGTGTGTGTATTCACCTCAGATTTTGTACCTTTAATTTTTTATCAGTTGATCATCCTTCTTTCTGCAATTCTCCATAAATCTGTTCTTTACTTCACACCTTTTTTCTCTTTTTTCATTCTCTCTTTCTGGCTTTTACATGCTTTTTCTTCACAATCAGTTGATTGATTTTTTTTTTTGTTAATGAATTTTTGCATTATTGAAATCTCTGCTTTTCGTTCTGTTCTTTTTTTTCGATCTCCCTCCCTTTCCCAGGCGTTTAATTGCTCTTCTTACTCATTTTCTCTATCACCCTCTGTACATTTCTTATTTATACTTACTTTTATGGCTTTCGCTTTCTTTATGCCTAACACGTTCAATTTCATTTTTTATAATTCGTCTTTTTGGCAACCCCAACATTTCGTTCCTTAATTTTTAAACATGTAATTCTCCCGCTAGGCGACAGTTTTTTTTTTCTCTTATTTTTCCATCCTCTTTAAACATATCTATCTATCTATCTATCTATCTATCTATCTATCTATCTATCTATCTATCTATCTATCTATCTATCTATCTATCTCTTATTTTTTGGGTTTTTATTTTTTCGTCAGTTTTCGAAATCTGTTCTTTTTTCCCTATGCTTTGATTAATCAAACATATTACTTCTTTTCCACCTTGTCTTTTATTTTTATTTTATTTTATTTTTTGCTTAAATTCTTTTATTTTTTTTTTACTATTTGTCTTTCTTATTTTGCCCACAGTTTTTCTTCAAACTTCTCTCTCATACACTTACCATTGTTTTTTTATCTTTCATTTTCCTTTCCTTCGTGTTTTTTTTTGTTTTTTTTTTTTTTTTTTTTTCTACTTTATACTTTCAATGTTCGTTCTTTTTTCCTTCGGTTCTTTTTTTCTCTCACTTAGACTTGTTTCTTTTCATTACAACTTTATTTATTGTATAAACAATCTTTTTAGGAGTTCTTTCTTATATTCAATATTCATATATTTGTATTTCTACCTCTGTTTTTCTTTCTCTCTCATTTTAATCTGTCATCCATCTATTCTTTTAATTTCCTCATCTCCTCTCCCCTCCGCCTGCTCCATTTTTCTCTTTGTTTCTTTGATTATTATCATGCATTTTTGTCCGTTTTGCTTCTTCGATTGTTTCATTGTATTTAGCCATCTGCCATTATTTCAGTCTTTGTCTTACTGCCTTTTATAAAATCCATTCCTCTATTCTTTCTTTCTTTATTTATTTCCCCCCTCATTCATATTTGCAATATTAAATTTGACATTTTCCTCACAATTCAACTTTTTAATTTCTTAATTTATTTTTTCTTTCATTCTATATTTCCTCGATTTTTTAAAGTTCATGTTTTTTCTTTTTGCATGTATTCTTCTTATTCTTTTTCCTTTCTTCCTTTCTTTCTTTCTTTCTTTCTTTCTTTCTTATCGTTCATAACCTACATTTTGTTTCTCCCTTTCACTTTATCGCTCTTTTTCTTTCGTCGCTTATTTGTATCATTCACATATTTTTTATTGCTTCTTTCTTCACATATTACAATTTTTCACCACTTTTCTTCTCATAGTTTAAATATATTCCTTTTCCCTCTCTTTCTTTATTTTTGTCTTTTTTCTTTCTCTTTATTTGTCTCTCCTTATTTCCCACTCTTTCTTCTTTTCCCTTCTTTCTTTCTTTCTTTCTTTCTTTCTTACTTTCTTTCTATACCTATGTCCTTAATATATAATGTTTTCTCTATCTTTATTATTCACGATTTTATATTCGTCCTGTTATCTTTTTTCTCTTGTTATTTTACTCGCTATGCTCTTTACAGCGATGCTCCCTTAATTTCCATTGTTAATATTTGGTTTATTTTGACCAACCTCTTCTTCATTCGGTCAGTCTTGTTTTATGTTATTCATTGTTTTCGCACAATTTTTTCAAGTACTTTCATTCACTATATTCAGCTTTCATTCTTTTTTTTATTCCGAATCTTTTCCTTTATATTATTATTTTCCGACTGCATTCATTCATAATTTTATTCTCTTATTCTCTTTTGTAGTTCATGCTGCACTCATGCCTTTCTGTAGTACCCCCCTATCCTGCTGGTAATGCTTACTTTCTTTCTGTCTTATTTTTCACTTATATATTAAGCATCCTTTCTTTCTTCTTTCTAACACTATTCCCCTCTTTCTAATCCCCATTTTGATAAACCTTTTCTTTAACCACTGACATTTTTTTATTTTTTTTATGCTACTTGAAAATCCATTTTCCTTCACTTCCCCATTTCTTTGTCATCTTTAATTTCTAATTCTTTCATTTTTTTTTTCGTTTCTTCAAATTTTTCCCTCCAGTTTTTATGTTCTCCCTTTTTTTTTGTTCCTTTCATCCAACCACCTCAGCGATGTCTTCACATGGATTAGATTCCCGAATATTCCAACTACAAATACTAACTTTTGACTAATAATATACAGTGACAAGGATGATGCTAGTAACAGTTGCATCATTGTCTATACGAACTTTATTACTCCAACTATTCTAACGTGGTTCTTTGAAAAATTTTACTAACTATTGTTGATGGTCTAGATATATTTATTTTTTACGATAACAACCATTTCTATAACAGCAACAGCTATAACTGCTATTTCAAGAACTATTGATGCCATTATGAAATTTGAGTAGATCTGTGTAGTGAAAGCCGTAAAAGAACCCGTACGATTCTGTGTGTAAAGTTTCAAACACACACACGCAGTATAACATATACATGATATTTGCCTAATACTAACTACTTACTAAATAACCAATGTCATTATACTATCAGAAAATTAGTGAATTTGTAATATTTACCTTTAGACAACTGTAAAAAGGAAAATTGTTATGCCTCTATCTGTGTGTGTGTGTGTGTGTGTGTGTGTGTGAGGTTGGCTGGTGTCTCACAGCAAATTAGATAAATACCTGGGTTCTTGGTCTGGAAATTGTGATTTAAAGTATCTAGTCGTGTGGAATTTGTTCAGTAACGAACTTGTACGTACCTTTGTGTTTGGTCTGTGTTCAAATAGATACATTTTGAAAACATTTTCAAAGTTCGAAATAACTGAATGCTTTTTTTTTTTTTTCAACCCTACTTCCCAACACTTGCCTTCGAGATGGAAAATTAGGTACAGATTAACTAATGACTAATTTCCAACTCTATAGTACTTACGAAGGAAATGGAAAATGGCTCATCAAACCCATCCCGGAAATCATAGCTTGCAGATAAGTTTTTTTTCCTAATATTTATTCGCTTTCTGCAAAGAAAATGACCAAGTTCATATGAGTAACCGTACGTGCGGAATGAACATTTTCAATAGGCGTAACCAATGCCATTTTGGAAACTTTTGTCTCTAGTTAGACAATTGGGATATGTTGCCGCAGGGATGGATTCACCGGGTCTAGGCTCAAATTCATGACAGGCCGGAAACTGACCAAAGACAGACAAATATATCGCGCTATAAAATGGACTATATAATGTCGAGGGATAGAAATATTAAATTGATTTTGAACGGTTATTTACATTTTCCTACAAACACACACATTATTATCTATATATTTGTTGCTGTTATCACAAATTTATCGGCTATTGCACACGCCGGCCTTCATGACGCACATGACAATAACCTGGTGAGTATACATTCATTGGTGAATTTGATGACATTGTATTGTGAGTTCAATCGCTGTGACTTGCAGTATATACTTAGAATAAGAGGAAACGAGTGTGGGGACAAATAACTGATTAGTAACAAATAAGAACAAGAAGAAAATCTATTACTAGACGTGTTCAGTGGAATAAGAAACATCTACGCCGGTTGATTAAATAAAGGGTTCTGTTCGAATTTCCTTAACGCTTACCCGAATCGAAAAGAACCTGATGGAGGCTGGAGAGTACAGCTGCCGAAAGACTGTGATTAAAACCAAAAAATTGAGAAAAATATGTAAGTTATTATAAATATATATAGAATTTCAGAAAAATTTTGAACGAGATTGTCAGTTGAATAAATACAAATGTTTATTGTGATCATAGCTGAATGCATTAACAGGTAAATGAAGAGTAGAGTCTTAGAAGAAACGAAACTGGGAGAGATTTTTCAAGGAATGCATTTAAAAGGGGTGGCAGTGAGTAGACAAATCTATCTTTACTTTAAATAGAAAAACATAATAAGAGAAAAACACAGACGTTTAAAATTGATGAATTTACAATTATATATATATATATATATATATATATATATATATATATGTAATTTGTAGGTCTGAAGAATTGGATGGCAATTATGATTCCTATGTAATAAATTATAACTATGGAATATTAGTGTTTAAGACTTTTTATTATATTCTTACTCTGTCCTGGCTATTGGGTTCCACCTGAATTCTATCCTCTTGGAATTTTTATATATATATGTATGTATGTATATATATATATATATATATATATATATATATATATGTGTGTGTGTGTGTGTGTGTGTGTGTATGTGTGTATTAACCATTAATATTATTTCTCTCTGTCTCTCTTTTGGGTTGTTATGTGGATTTTAAAAAAAAAATCTAAATTATGCTTTATTTTCCATAACTTGCAACGCGTGTTTCTCGTCACGCGACCTTTTTTTTTTTTTTTGTTTGTCTGAGAGAATTTACATATATATATATATATATATATATATATATATATATATATATATATATATATATAAAGATTAAATTTGTAAAATCTAATATGATGTAATATAACATGCACTTATATTAAAATCACATCTTTGAACATTTATCACATTATATTTTACGATGTCAGATTTTATTCTACATAATTACGCATTCACTAATTTCGTTAAGCAAGTGATGCTGCTACGATTTTTAAATCTATTGACATAAAGAATAGATTTAATTCCACGTAATAACACATAGCATTTTTAGAAAGCCTGTATCTTTTTTAATTCTGCAATCTAAATGCAATTCTTTTTTATGTATAAATGTGTTCAAAATTTGTAGCTAAGTAACCAGTGGGTTAACTGCATATGCTTTATAATGAATTAAGGATTCTTATTTATTTCCATGCTTATAATGACAGCATGACATTCTCTATTATTTCCTTTATCATTTCACCGGTGATTTTGATAACATTTCGATTATTTCGCCGTTAATATTTCAATCTTGTGTGTATTTCTTGCTTTCCGGGAATATTTTCATTGTACATAAAATAATATGCGAGGGCAATTTCATAAATCTTTAATCCTTGGTACCATTTGTGTTTGCATAAATTGAAATAGAGTTCCATGTATGAATATTCACATGAACGAAAAACGGTCTGGTTTGGATGAGAAGAAAAAAAGCCTGATATAAAATTGGATTCCTTTGAATTAATATCACCTTAAAATTTTAACGGAATATATATATATATATATATATATATATATATATATATATAGCATAATGAGAAGCCACGTATACTTTCTTAATATGTATATATAGAAAAGTTTCAAATTAAAAAATAATAATGTTTTATTTTATGAAAGTATTTATTTATTTATATATATATTTGATATTTCAAATTGTCCTCAATTTTTCATCAGAAATAACTGTTTGTTACAAATAAATTAAAATTACTGTTTGTTAGCAAGTAGCGTCCTTCGCGAGACGCGGATGTCACGTGATATGGAACAGCAATGGGCACATAAATGGCAACTAGTTATGCTAATATCTTTATGCACATTCTAGAAAAGAAGATACTAGACAATTCAGAATATAAACCATCACATTACTTTAGATATATTGATGACATTTTTTTACTATGGACTCATGGATCAGAAAAGTTAAAAACCTTTTTCACTTTCTGCAACAATTTCCGCGATACAATTAAATTTACTATGGAGCACTCATACACATCCATCCCTTTCTTAGACGTTATGATAAAATTAAATAAACATACACTTTCTACCAGTCTATACAACAAACCCACAAACCAACATAAATTCCTGCACTTTAACAGCTGTCATCCCTTTAAATTAAAAAAATCTATTGTATACAGCTCATTTCTAAGAATCAAACGCATATGCTCAGACCATTTAGATTTTCTATATAACATTAATAACTTAACAAAACAATTCCTAAAATGCAAATACCCAATAAAAATAATAAAAGAAACACTAAATAAAACTATCCTGATAAATCGTAACACACTTCTCACATACAAGAAAAATAAAAACAACAATCGGATTCCCATGGTTTTTAACCACAATCAATATTCCCACACACTTATTCACAATTTAAAAAAGGATTACAAGAACCTCCAATTAGACAACAAGATCAAAGACATTTTCGATAAACCACCCATAAATGCAAAGAAACAATCACCTAACCTATCAGCTATCCTCACCTCTACCAAATATCTAAACAATAGAAACCAATCAGGAAATTACAAATGTAACAAACCTCGGTGCTTAGTTTGCAAATATTTAATAATAGCTAATATATTTTCTGTACCCAACACCAATATCAGCCAACTAACCTCACCTGCGATAGCCATAACGTAATCTATTATTTATTCTGCAACTTATGTCCTAATAGTGGATATATTGGTGAGTCTGGAAATAATTTTAGATTTCGTTTCAATAACCATAAACAAAGAATACGTCAAAACAACCCTTATTCACCCATAGCTAAACACTACAATCAATCAGGACACACAAAACTGCAAATGTTTATTGATAGATTCCGATTTTACGTCCACATTCACACGCAGAAAAAAAAAAACATTGAATTTTAAAATTAAATACACATAAACTAGGGTTGAATAGGGACTTGGGTGTTTTAAATCTTTATAAATATTTCAATAGTTAAGCAATTCTTTTTTTAGATATAGTAAATTTTTTTTTTTTAAACAACATTTAACATATTTATGACAGTTAGATTTAAGTTAGGAATATCCGAACAGTGACGTTCCATATCACGTGACGTCCGCGTCTCGCGAAGGACGCTACTTGCTAACAAACAGTAATTTTAA